AGGACCAGATTCAGGAGCTGAAGGCCGAGGTGAGCGCGGGGCGGCCCCGGCCGGCGCGGGGATGCCGGTGACAGGCGGGGTCCTTGCCCTGGGGAGGCGGGCGCCTGGCAGGCCGGCCGGCTCCCGCGTGAGCACGTCGGTGCACGCCTCCAGCGCGCCGGTCCCCCGCCCCAGGTGCGGCTGCTGAAGGGCCCGCCGACCTTCGAGGACCCGCTGCCCTTCGACGGGCTGAGCCTGGCGCGGCACCTGGACGAGGACTCGCTGCCGTCGTCCGACGAGGAGCTGCTCGGCGTGGGCGTGGGCGTGGGCGCGGCGCTGCAGGACGCGCTCTACCCGCTGTCCCCGCGCGACGCGCGCTTCTTCCGCCGTCTGGAGCGGCCGGCCAAGGACAGCGAGGGCAGCTCGGACAGCGACGCCGACGAGCTGGCCGCGCCTTACAGCCAGGGCCTGGACAATTGAGCGCGTGGCCCGCGCGCCGCAGCCGCTGAGGGTCGCCCTGGGACGGGGCCGCTCCGCCCGCCGAGCGCGCCCAACGAACTCCACGGGCTCCGTGGTGCCGTCCGCCCTGGGGCTCGGCGGCGGGCAGGGCCCCCGCAGGCTCTCCCTCGCCGGCAGTGTCCGCACGGCCCCGAGCCCGCCTGCGCCGCAGGGGCGTCCGGGCACGCCGCGCGGGCAGGGGCCAGCCGGCGGGGGGCCCGTCTCCAGCAGGCGTCCTCTGGGGACAAGGGCAGCCCTGCTGGGAAGGGCTGGGCAGCTGGAGGCCTGAGGCAGGAGGGGCAGCTCTGGTTGGACGGTGGCACCCCGTCGGCGTCCCTCGGGACGCAGTGACCCCTGGCTGCGGGGCTTTCCTGCCTGGAGCAGGCATGGTGGCCACTGCAGCGGAAACCAAAGCCCCTTGTCCTGTGTGCAGGGCCACCTGGGTGGGAGGGGCAGCTGCGAGGAAGTCAAGAGCCCGCTTCCCCGGCCCCAGCGCCTCATATCTTCCTCCCGGAGACCCCGGCATGGCCCGTCGCAGCCAGTGAGGGAAGAGCGCCCCGTCCCTGGGGTCCTCGGCCTTCCCCAGGGGAGGGGCGTGGCCGAGGAGCTAGCTGCCCGTCCCCCCATCCCTAGGGCCCCGCCCCACGGTCTCGGCCGGGAACGGTGCCAAAGTCGAGCGACGCCCTCAGATCTTCTTCCTTCCCTCCTCCTGCCCTGGGCCTCGCGACCCTCGGGGCTGCCCTCGGTGCTCCTGGAGCCTCGAGGAGCGACCAGCGTCCTGTCACAAGCAATCTCCTGGGGCCTCCCGGGGTGGGGACCTCCGCTCGGTCCCCACTTCCTGGCCGCCGCCCACTCTTCAGTGTTACAAGCCTGGGGGCTGGGGCGGGCACGCGCGGGGCTCTCTCACGTGCCCCCACACTGCCCACCACCATTTTGCACACTGCCTGTTCACACTCCACTTGCCCAGGCGGGAACGATGGGAAATAAAGTGTATTTACACAGTCACCGGCAGGGGGCGCTGCGGGGGAGGGCAGGCCTGGGCGCCAGGCCCGGCCATTGGGAGCCTCAGTCCTAGGGTGGGAGAGGGAGGGAGACCAGCCGCCGGAGGAGAGAGGCTTGGTATCAGTATGGGGTGTGAATTCTCCCTCCCCCAGGGAGTCTGCAGGGTCCTGGGGTTATTGAGTTGATTTAACACCCAGTTCTGGACGCCTGCTAGGATGCTGTGCCTAGCTGGGGTGGGGGGGGCAATATAAAGGAGGAAACACGTTTGGGGTGGGAGGAAGGTGGGCCTGCCGGTACCTTGGTACATGCTCAATAGATAAAAATGCAGGAGATTAGGGAAGGCTTCCTGGAGGAGGTGGTGTCACACCTTCTGGAAGGACTAAGGCATACAGGTCCCACAGGGTCACAGGGACCAGCAGGAGGTACCTGATGCCTGAGAGGGGGAACTGGAGAGCCTGGGGTGGGGGGATGGGGGGCAGCCCAGGAAGGGGCATCTCCTCAAACCAGCAGAAAAAGTTTGGACTTTGGGCCTGGCATTGTGGCATAATGGGTTAAGCCACCACCTGCAGTGCCAGCATCCCATATGGGCACTGGTTCGAGTTCTGGCTGCTCCATTTCCCACCCAACTTCCTGCTGATGCACCTGGGAGAGAATCGGAGAACAGCCCGAGTGTTATGGACCCCTGCATCCATGTGGGAGACCCAGAAGAAGCTCCTGGCTTCAGCCTGGCCATTGCAGCCATTTGGGGAGTGAACCAGGAGACAGAAGATATTCTCTCTCTCCCTCTCTCTCTCTCTCTCTCTCTGGCTCTGACTTTCAGATAAATGGAATGAATCTTAAACAAACTAAAACCCAGAGTTTGGACTTTGAGCTGAGGGCTCTGGGGAGCCCGAGGGGGAGAGGAAGCAGCACATGGCCGCAAGGTTAAGGGGTCAGTGCAGACGAGCAGTGAGGACAGTGAGGGCTCTCCTAAGGGGCTTCCCCCATAGAGCCGAGGCAGAGGAGGCTGTCAGGGCTGAAAACGGAAGTGGGTGCAGGCAGATGGCAGCCCCACTCTGCCCTCCAGCACAGCACTGGTTACCCCAATTGTCGCATCATATTCAACAGCTCCTAGGTCAAGTGCACCATTCCCACTGTACAGATTTCACACCCAGGCCCCAACAGCGTCCACTGCTCCCACTGGCTCCCCAGTCTGGGCTCCTGTCCTCTCCCCTTGGGGGCACAGCCTGTCAGGAGTCAGCGCTTGTCTCAGAGAGCAGGAACAAGGACACCAGGGCCCAGCTCCAGGGGGAATCTATAGCTTGTCACAAAATCCAGAGCTCGAGGGAGGGAGTGTGCTGGCCTCCCCCACCCCCACCCCTGACTCCCTGGGGTGGGGGTGACAAAGGCTGCCTAGAATGAGGCCCATTCTTCCTAGGACACCAGGCTGGGAGGTAGCCACAGCTGGAGGCTGGCCATAGGGTCGAAGAAGAGACAAGGTCCGAGGCAGAGACAGGGTGAGGGTAAGAGCCCAACACCCAGTTCCACCTGGACCTTTTACCCACCGGGAAGCCTCCATCATTCCTTAAAGATGTACTTATCTGAGTCACGGAGAGAGAGAGAGAGAGACACAGATCTTCCATCTGCTGGTTCACTCCCCAGATGGCCACAACAGCTGAGCCCATCTGAAGCCAGGAGCCTGGAACACCATCTGGGTCTCCCACGTGGGTGGCAGGAGCCCAAGCACCTGGGCCATCACCTGCTGCCTTCCCAGGTGCACCACCAGGGAGCTGGATGGGAAGTGGACTGGAACTGGCACCCACGTGGAATGCCAGTGTCACACCACCGGCCCCTGCTCCATCATTCTCACTGCCAAGCGGGAGAGCCTGGGGGAGGAAAGCCCCATGGTGGAGCTCCCTGCAGGTGCATTTGGGAGGGGGTCAGCTGGGCTGGGGCTTCAGGGGCTCAGGAGTCAGGGTGACTGGACTGGAGGAAGAAGGGCATGGAATTTGGACTGGAGATGGGTGGGGGTGGGGGTGATGAAGATGACAGTGGAAATGGGATGCTCAAAGCGGCCGGGAAGGACCCCCTGGTGTCCCACCTGGCCAGAGGAAGGGCCCTCTGCCCCACAGCAGGGGCCTCTTGAGGAGCCCCAGGCCCAGCTGCTGGCTTCGTGAGCAGCCGGCCAGGCTCAGAGCTAGGGCTCCTGCTCCGAGGGGGACGCCCGCGATCCCTCCCTGGGTCTCCATCCGCACGGAGTTCGCGCCTCCAGGCCCAACCCGCAAGTAGGGAAGAGGTACCCGGCCCTGCCCAGCGGGCCAGACAGCCCTTCCCATTCGTTCCCCTGGCATTGGCGGTATGAGGAAGTGCGGTCGCCCCTCCGCCTTGGCCCGGCACCGGCACATCCACTTGGACCCTCCTCAAATCAGACCCGAAGTAGTACAGGTTCACGCACGTGGAGGCGCGGGGTCCGAGGACTGGGATTTCCTAAGGGCCCTGCCCCAGCCCCACCTCCCCCGCCACACCGCTGGGTCGCAGCTCCAACTCGCTTAAGAACAGCGGCCATCCCCGCCTGGCAGGGGCCCCGCAGCGACAGCGAAGGCGCGCAGACTCCAATGTTCCCGGTTTATTCCAAACTCGGGATACAGAGTACACAATTCACAGGACATGGGGCGGGGGGCCTAGGCCGAGGGGCGGGGCTAACAGCAGAGGCGGGACCCAGGCCGAGGGGCAGGGCTAACGGGGCACAGGTGAGGCCGAAGGCGGGGCAGAGGCGTGGCGTAGGCTAGGGGTGGGGCTACTGGAGCGGAGGCCCAGGGGCGGGGCTCGGGAGGATCTAGGGCCAAGATGTGGGTGGATCCGAAGCCTAAGCCAAAGGCAGGGCTGGACCGTGGGCCGACAGCTAGAATGGATCCACCGAGAGCAGGACTCCAGGGGGATGGGAGCAGGGTCTAAGAAAGGTGTAACTGCAGGGAGAGATCCAAAGACATGGGTCTGGAGCAGTAGACGGGGCTGGGGACCGGCTCAGTGGAAGGTCTCCACCTCCACCACGGTCCAGTCCCCCTGTGGGGAAGCCACATCGTCCGGGGAGAAGCTGGTGACCGAGGTGATGCTGGCCCGGGACTCGTCCAGGGGAGACAGCAACTCTGCCCAGCGGCCCAGTTCGGCGTCGCTGAGCGCAGTCCGGGAGCCGCCTGCCACGCCGCCGCTCCCCGCGCCTCCGGGGCCCGCGCCGCCGCCGCCGCCCGCAGCGCCCTCGGCGGCCGCCAGCAGCAGCGTTCGGCTCAGCAGGTGCTGCACGACGCTGGCCTGCAGCGCCCCCAGCGGCAGCTCGCCCAAGCGCGCCGCCTTCGGGCTGCGGGTCGGGGTCCCGGGCGCCGTCCCCGCCGGCGCCTTGCCGCCGCCGGCGCTGGGCTCCGGCCCCGCATCCAGCGCGCCTGGGCCGGGGGCCGCACACTCGGGCCCCTCAGCCTCGTAGATGGTGCACAGGCCGTCAGCCGAGCCCGGCCCGGCGACCGGAGGCCACGGCAGCGACGCTCCTGAAGGGAGAGACACTGGGCTGGCCGGAGGGAGCGGGAGACCCCACGACCCGCCGCGAGACCCCGCGCCCCAGCTGCCCCTCTCGCCTCCCGGCCGCGCCCCGAAGCCCCGTACCTGCGGCGCCGCGGAGGCTGGCTCCACCTCGGCTCCAGGC